AAGGGCGCTAGGAACTTGTGATTTTTTTAAATTTTGTTTTGTCTGTAAAACGTTTTGCTGAGCACTTCTTCCCGCCATGATGCACCTCTTTCCTCCTCTCCAGCCCCCGTGGGAGTGGCGTTACCCGAGCCACATCCCTAACGCAACCATTTTTTTCCCCCCGTCGCGGGCCTGCTGAGGTGTGGCCTCCCACTCTCCCTACTACTGGCCGGCCGGGCCGCCGTGCCAGTCGCGAGGGGCTGTGCGCCGGGGCTGCGCGGCCACGCAAGTCTGCGCAGCCAACGCACGGAATTGCACATTCTTTTATCTCCCCCTCCCCCCTGTGTGCCGTGTGAGCGCGTCCGCCATCGCGAGTGGCGTGACGGCCACGCGTGGGCGGCGAGGGGTTGGCGGACTCACGCACGCACGCATCGCGGTGGGCGCGGCGGTGGGCGGGGGAAAGAAAAGAAAAAAAAGAAACGACAGCAAAAAAAAATGTGCGTGCGCGGCGGGCCGTATCAAGTTCTGGGCGAGGCCCGGAGGGGGAGGGGGGCGCCCGCGGACGCGGATTGGCGAGCCGCCGGGCAGCGCGGAGCGTCCAGTCCACCCCCCGCTTTTATTTCGGACTTTTTCCCCTGCTTTTTGCCGCAGCGCCCCCTACCCCGCTTCTCACGCTGCCCCCCTCCCACTCCCCGCGCGACCCACTCTCCTCGCGCCCTCAGCCGGACCCCTCCTGCCTTCCCCCCCTCTCTTCCCGTTTTGTTCTGCCGGCGCTCGGGCCACCCTCCCGTGCGCCCCCGCGCCTCTGCCCAGGGGGTGGTTGTGGGGAGGGGGCGGGGGGCGTACGGAGCGCTGCGCGAGAAAAATGTAAAAAGAGGCGTAAAAGAAGGGAGGCATCCCGCGCGGATAGGCCGACCGCGCAGCACGCCCAGCCCCTCCGGCACACTGTTTTTAACTTCTACTAATTTTATTGATGTGGGCTCCAAAAAGTAATTTCAACATTGAAAAAAAAAATCGCAACGATACCTTTTTACTTTTTCAACTGAAATCGGTCTAGAAATTCGAACGAAATTCTGATTTAAAAAAGAACTCTAGCTCAGGAGAAACTGCCGCGCGGTGGAGTAATCAATCATGGTCCCTGTCCCAGATAAAAAACTCAAAATCGTTGACATTTTTTGCACATATCATGGCACAAAATTTCCGTTTCAACTGCCCTTCTTGACATCTGCACTGCACTACGGGTTTTATTCAGGGATTTTTTTTTTTTAAACGAGAAAGACCATGTTCTAGTAATAACTTTGATAATAATATTGATATGGATTGAAATTGATGTTAAGCATAAATTTGCTAGAAAATAACAACACTTATGTCTAGTGGGAAAAAATTAATTCACATAAGATATCGTTTTGTCCATTTATAAACTATCGGTCAAGTATCAAGGTGGCAGGTAACTGACTGTGACGGCTGTTTGTTGATAAAAAGTAAAATACAAACCGGAAAAACGAAGCAGCCAATTTTACATACAGTCGAATAGAGGGGTTGAAAAATTGTGACCATGCAGCGCTAGCCCAGCACTCGGCAAGGCGATCCGCGACTCAACCCCTTCTTGGTTGGACTACTTGCCGTCAGGTGGCAGCACCGGCCGGCTGCGCTGCTGTTCCAGGCGGAGGCACCCTACCGCTGTCTCCTTCCCACCCTCTTCCTGGTGTCGGGCTGGGCGCTCCTGCTCTCTCTCTCTCCTTCTCTCCCTCTATCTCTCTCGGACACACTCACTCTCTTGCCCGCAGGGGAGGCCTGACGTTTTTCTTTGCTTTTTCGATTTGGTGCGTATGTTTGTCGACCCGGGCACTTACTCCCTGCGAGCAGACCCTCCTCTCCTGGCAAACAGAGATTAGCGTGTCCAGCGACGCAAGGGCCGAGCGGGCAAGCGGGGCGCCCCCGCGCCCGGCGTCAAAGTTAAGCATTCGGAAACATGATGTTATCTGCGCTCTTTTAAGTGTGACCGTGTGTGTGTGTGGGAGAGAGGGAGCGGGTGGAATTAACAAAACACGAGGAGACTTTATTCGAGGACTCAAAACGACACTGACAAACGCGTTGTACAGGAATGCACCTATACTGCGAGAGAAAGGGACGAGCGTACCTTCTGCACTTTTTTTGCAGCGTTACGAGATCTTGTACAAAATCAGGTAACCGTGGATGTTCTCCGTAAGCATTTCTGTGAAAATGGCTTATTCTGACAGAGCTATCTCCCTCCCTCTCCCTCTCTCCCTCTCTCTCTCTCTCTCTCTCTCTCTCTCTCT